TTTTTTTCCTCTTTGAAAAATTATCTAGGAAACAGTCAATCATTCTGCTGTTGATTGAAGTGAGTTGGAGGTGATCTAAGCAGTCAAATTACAGAAGGCAGGAATGATGCAGACTTAATGTCTTTTCTGCAGAAAACAGTACTTAGTAATAAGAAGTGGAGAGGATATTATTTAGTTTGTTGTAAAATTCTTCGTAATGATGGACAAAAAAAGACAAATATATTAGAACCCCTTTTGAAATGTTAAATATACTTTATTTAGTATCTCCAATTGCCGGAGATTGGAATTTTTTCCTTTTTTTTTTCTTTCTCTCAGAGAATTTTGTCCCATTTGATGCCCAAGAGATGATGATGACTGGTACTTAAGAGAACAAAATATATGGATGGGAGGAGGAGGAGGGAATTTATTCTAGCCAGGATGTTGATCTGGCCAGGATTTACCACAGAAATAATCTCATCCACACATAGCCCAGGTGTGCAGAGAGAATCATTCCATGACACAGGTTTTTGCAGGATTTCCCCCCAAACTTTATACGGTCAAAACCCATAGAGATGCACTGCTTCAAAGTACATTGGTCTAGAGTTGAGCAACCCCTAGTGTTCAGTTTTCCATTGGATCTGAATTTCTTTGCCTCTGATATTGATTAGATCTTGATTCTTCGATTTTCTTATCAGTCCTTTCCGGAGCAGGGGGTGGTAGATGTTCCTGTGAGGGTAGATGTTCGTAGGTGGCCGCTGATGTTCCACTGATGGCCTTTTATCTTTCTGGGTATCTTTGGGCTGCTCCCAGTCTGTTGGTATGTTAAACCCATCTCCTTAGAGTGATGTTACATCTCCTAAAAAAACCTAAAGAAAATTCCTTTCTCTGAGGCAAAGTCAAGTCAAGCGTAACTAGAGAGACAAAATAGAAATTTAAAAGTTATGTTGTTTCCAACAGTTCAGTCTTTTAATGCTTTTCCTACCATGGGTGAGCCTTTGCTTGTAAGAGCAGTTGTTGGACCTTATCAACCCCTGACCTCACTGGAAAAATGTCCTCACCATCTACCGGGGTGCCCCAGGGGAAAAACCAGCACCCTGAGCCCCTCTGAGGGAGCCTCTCCTGGTTGCTTGCGGGAGCCCGGCTGCTCCTTCACAGCCTTGGCCATTTTTTGTTGTTATTTCAGGGTTTTTGCCATATTTTAGCTGGACACCCAGCACCTGCAGGACCCCCTGCTGTCCTGCCTCTGCCACTGCTTAGTGCTTAGTGCTGCACTTTGTTTGCCAGTGTGGGTGTGCTGGGCTCTGCCATTCCAGCGCCACTCCGGGGTTCCACTGTGTGGTGTTGTGAGGGTCCCCAGGACGAGGTGAGAAAGGAGAATTTGACTCCAAGTTCTCAGAAGGCTGATTTATTATTTTATGATATTATATTATATTAAAGAATGCTATACTAAAACTATACTAAAGAATAGAAGAAAGGATACATCCGAAGGCTAGACAAGAATGAATAATAAAAACCCGTGACTGACCAGAGAGTCTGAGACAGCTGGACTGGGATTGGTCATTAAGTAAAAACAATTCACATGCTGGGATAAACAATTCTCCGAATCAAATTCCAAAGCAGCAAAACAGGGAGAAGCTGAAGCTTCCCAGCTTCCCAGGAGAAGAAATCCTGGCGAAAGGATTTTTCATAAAATATCGTGGTGACATTTCACCATCAGGAGGGCCCCGGGCCCGGCTGCTCCTGAGCCAGGGAATCCCCATTTCCCTCTCTCCACCATCAGCCTGTGCACAGTGGGGCTGAGCTCGCGCCACAGCGCCCCCTGCAGGCGTGGGGGAGTCAGTGCACACCCTGCCCGGCCGGGAGCCAGCAGCGCCCCTGCTGGCCGTGCCCAGAACTGCAGCACAGGGACAGCCCTGGGCCCAGGGGAGGTCGCGCTCGGCTTCTGCTCTTGGCTGGGGCTGCTGCTGCTGCTGCCCTTGGTTTGCCTTCTTACACACACACACACTAGCAGAGAACTGTTATTGCTTTCCCATACCTTTGCCTGAAAGCCTCTTAACTTCAGAGTTGTAATAATTTGGAGGGAAGGCGGTCACATTTTGAATTCCAAGAGAGGTTTCTGCCTTCCTTGGCAGACAGTGTATATCAGACCAAGATACCAATACAGCTCATTTTTAGGTAAAGCCCTTCTCCATAACTCCAGGCAATCTCATTCAGAATTATCTTTTCTTCAGCCAAATGTTCAAATAACTCCTTGGAGCTGAGAGCAGCTTGTGGCTGGCCTGTGAGCACCAGCTCACCCAAGCTGTGCCAGCTTCCTGACGTCCCCTGAACCTTTGTTCACTGTGGGTCTCCCTTGCACACTCACTCGTGTTGCTACAGGACAGGGACACCTGCCACTAAACCAAGCTCCAAGCCCCGTCCCACCTGGCCTTGGACACTTCCAGGGATGGGGCAGCCCCTGCTTCTCTGGGCAACCTGTGCCAGGGCCTCCCCACCCTCACAGGGAACCAGGGTTTTGAGATGCCGGGGGAGCCATCCCCAGTGACCTCCTCTCTCTGTCTCCCTGGAATACCCGAGTCCTGCTTTTTTTTCTGCTTGAAAAGGGTCTTTTTGTGCCACCACCTCCTCCAGCCCGAATCTCCCGCAGCTGAGAGGCTGCTGAGGGTGGTGTGATGCTCTGACCTGCCAACAACAATTCAGGGCTGTGTTTCCTTTGGGAAAGGCATTTGCATATCCTCTATTCACTTTATTTGGTTAAATATATTTGAAAAGGCAAAAGCTCTGTGTCATTGAGACCGAAGAATGAGCCATGAGCCGTCTGGGGGCCTCCTCCATCTTAACCCTTTAGAACCTGGTTCCAGCATCTTGGAGGCTTAAAATATTCAGAAAAAGAGATTTTAAGGCTGTTTTTGCAGCAGGTATGGGGAAGGAGGCTGGAGACAGGGAAAGCCCTGACAGAAGTCAGCAAAAATGTGCCATATACATATGAACTGAAAATTCACTTTTGTGAATACAGCCACAGACTGACTTGCAGAGTGTTTGCAAAATTTAGCATGGACAGAAATGTCTTCAGGGTGACTTGAAAGTACTTGTGAAAACAGGAGAGCAAAAGCAAGTTACAGCAGTGTCAGGGACAGAAAGGTGCAGGGTGCTTCAGGATGTGGCATTGGCAAAGGGAACTTTCTAGAAACAAAATTAGAAATAACCTAATTGCTGCTTTAGTTAACAAAATAAATAAAAAACTCTGAAGCGACAACAAAGATCCTGAAACCAAACCGTGTGTTTAAAAATCATTTAAACAATGTAACTGCTTGTTATTAGTGTCAGGAGAAGAAAAATACTTCAGTGAAGTATTTAATTTGGACTATTTAAGGACATCTCAAATCACAGCCCAACCACAGATTTCTCAAAAACCCTCCATGAGATGATGCCAAATTCCCCCTTTTCCCTCATTTTCTAGCACAGTGCCAGGCCCTTGCTGGCAGGGGAACAGAAGCTGGGTGTGGGATGTGGTTGGGGTCTCTGGCTGGTGGATGCCAGTCCTGCTGACGTGCCAGGGTGCAGGAGAGACCCCCTTGGACTGGGCCAGGACACAGCCCCTGCACCTCACTGTGTGCTGCACCTACCACACTCAGCTGCAATGTGGAGACTGAGCTTCTGGGTGCCTGTAAAGTGTTCTGAGGATGACAGCTGGGAAGAGATGCGTAAGCAATAAATTCCTCATCCTGGGTTTATTTTTGTTACCTTGCCATCAGTTGGCATCCCTGTGGTGTAAGGAAATTGAGGACTAGAGGGAGAGGAGGCAGAAATACTTGCCCAGTAACATAATATTAATGTTGCTAATTATTCAATTAATTCTCTGTTTGTGCTGTATGCTTCCTTCCTGCTGCTCTTTGGAAATGGTAAAAAATATAGGCTATGTATAAACATAAAAGCATAATATCTGACCAGAGGATATAGAAAAGAAAAGGAGACCACTAAAAAGACACACAAAGCAGTAAAGTTCCTCTTTCTTACGTATTATTTGAATTAGTGGTGGTTTTTTATTTCTACTTGAGGCACAATTTTCCATGGATGGGCCTTGAGGAATGTAGAGATACTGTTGGCAAATTTCTGTTCTGTAACTGAAGCTATCGCTCTGGTTTATGGGAATGTCCTGAAAACCATAGCAGTAACTGGGGTTTTTTGAGTTACGCTCAGAATTTTGAAGTGGAACTCTTCCATAGAGCAATGGAAGCTCCCAGGCTATTTCAGCTCTGTGTGGTTTCCTAGTGGTACAGCCTCATTTAGCTGCTCTGATGAATCTATGTAAAGTCATAGAATAGTTTGTGTTGGAAAGGACCCTTAAAGTCCATCTAGTTTAACCCCCCTACAATGAGCAGATATCTTCAACTAGACCAGGTTGTACCAAGCCCTGTCCAACCTCACCTTGAATATTTTCAGGGCTGAGGCATCCATAGCTGCTCTGGACAACCTGTGCCAGTGTGTCACCACCTTCCTTATAAAAAAAATCATTCCTTATATCTAGTCTGAATTGGCCATCTTTTAGTTTAAAACCATTACACCATGTCCTATCCTGTATTCTCCTGGCTAAAAGCAACAATGTTTGAAATTCAATCTTAATCTGCGTTTCTCATTCATTTTGATAAAGTATAAAAGCATAGAGAGATTCCATAGGTTACTCTCTTTTATAGGACTCTTTGACTTTGGCTGGGAGCATTAAATGCACTGTGATTTACTGATATATCTTTTTTTACATCCCATCCTGGATGGATCAGGTCTCAGCCAAATCCCAGAGTTATTTGAAGTCTTCCCATTGATTTTACTAGTAGGTAGGTCTTACTGGGCTTTAGACTGAGCACAAAAGGTGAAGTCTAATTTCCTTTGTACTAGTATAAACATCCCTGCTACTCAATGCTTTCTCTTGGCTGTGAGTCCAAAAAATTAGGTTGTCTTCCCATAAAGCCCTGTCCCCATCACTCTGCCCTGCAAATTAGCTGGTAGAAAATTCTGGGGCAGAATGAAAGCTTTTATTCAGTTTATTACTTAGAGTATGCTTGCATCATTTTTCCCTTAAGGTAGGCAGCCAACATCCAGCTTCCTCTCTTTGTTCTCCCTCAGATATCTCCAATGGTTGTTTCAGAGAGTGAGTCCATATGTGTATGTACTGCAATGAAAGCAAAACAAGAGAAAGGGAATTACTGCTCAGGGTATTTACAGAGGAGGTAAAAGGGTCAGACTCTACCATGAAACATGTGTTTTACTCAATCTCACCACTTACACTGAGGGTATATTGCCCATGGTGAGCTTCATCTTGGTAGGCAAGACCAGCCCTTACCAGCAAGAGCTTGAAAGAAGATCTCCATAGCACAGTATGTTGCTTTTAATCCAATATTCATTTGAAATCATGATTCCCACTTCCCCTTTAGGGCATTTCAGCATGAACACAGACATGCTGAGACTGTGGGCTACTGGCACTGAAGCACTCAGCCAACCCAGAACTGTTCACACACCTGAAATATTTTCCTGGCTACAAAGATTCTGTCAAGCTGTGGCTCATAAAGAACAAAGGGGCAGGAATCTGAGCTGGTGAATATTGCTGAGGTCCCATTAAGCCAGCACTGTGATGCTGATTTGCACCTGCAGACCATTCAGTCTAGTACTCCCTGCCCTACTCTGGCACTTTGATGAATTAAGCCTGATTGCAGAACATCCTCCATGTGACCCAAAGGAGCGATATTTTACAATCTTGCCTGAAATCTCATTAAATAGTCTTTCTTCATTCATGAGTGTTAAGTGTTCTTTGAGAATTCTCCACTACAAACTCCAATATCACAAGTAAAATTTAGGACAGGTCAGACAGAAACTTTATTAACTATGGTAATAGTAAGTCTTCACACAGCTTCTCACTCTCTGCTCACCTCTTTTCTGCCAAGCAGTTCTGGAGAGCCAGCCAGGAAAAAAAAGGAGTAGAGAAAAACAATAATTTCAGTGTTATTAATGCCAGATATTCAGCTTCTAGAAGGGAGGATCCCTCAAATGCCTTCCTAACAGCCAGAGTCCTAAGCAGGAATTGAACAGTAAAAAATGAGCAGTAAATAAAGTGATGATATGGAACAAGGGCTCCCCGGGGGCCCAGGGTGGCACACCCATGTTATCTTTGCTCAGGAGAGGGGAGTTGGAAGCTATCAGACACTGTTGGTCTGGTGGTTTCCAGTTGAAAGGAATGCTCTTGTAGTTGAGAGTATCTCAGCCAGATCTCTCAAATGTAAATGTCAGTAATTTACCATGACAAATGAATTTCAAAGTTCTGGTCTTGTTATTTTGAGTGTAAATTAACAAAACCTGGTTTGGGCTGGAAAACCAGGGGTGTTGGGCTTTTTCTGTTAATACATATAGCAGTATAAGGATGATGTTGGCAAGAGTTACTGATTTGCTATTTTCTTGATTCAGGGGATTTGTCATTATTCTACTCGATTATCACAGAACCCACTCTTCCAGCGCACTGTTTTGGGCTGGAAGGGTCCTTTAAGGTCATCCGGTTCCAATGCCCGTGCCACGGGCAGAGCCACCTTCCACTAGACCAGGTTGCTCCAAGTCGTGTCCAATCTGGCCTTGAACACCCAGGGGTGGGGCATCCCCAGCTGCTCAGGACAGCCTGCTCCACTGTCTCACCACCCTGACAGGGAAGAACTTCTTCCCAATATCCCATCTAACCCTGCCCTGTCAGTGTGAAGCCATTCCCCTTTGTCCTGGCACCATCTGCCCATGTAAATATCTGCCGATATCCGACCTATGAAGTGTCTCGTTCAGCAGACCTGAACTGGTAGCACAGACTTTCTCAGTGTCAGAAACTTTCTTTTATGATGACTTTTCCTAAAGAAAAAAGAAAAAAAAAAAAAAAAAAAAAAAAAAAAAGCCGTTTCTAATTTAAAACTGCGCAGTTGCAGAAAAAAAGGTTTTACAGTTTTACACCCAAAAGCGTTGCTTCGAGCCTGTAAATCCTCCAGTATGACAGAGATGTGCGAAAATACTGCAACATTCAGGAGCGGAGAGGGTGGGTTTTTCCTCTGGGAGGCGGCTCCCATCGCCGGGTGTGGAAGCTCAAGGGTTACAGCGGGCATCGCTGCTGCTGCTGCTGCGCTAATACAGCCTAAGCCGATATTAGCCAAGCTTAACTTCTTTCAGCCGTTTGCAGATGGGAGGGGGAGGGACGGCCTGGAGTCAGCAGTTCTGTGCAGAGCCCCGGCCATGAGCTGACCGGGCAGCGGCGGCCCCGGGCACCGGCGGATGGTGAGTCCCGCCGGGCTTTCATTGTTGTTATCGCAGCGCCTCTGAGGAGCCGGGGGATCCCAGCGGGATCCGGGAGCTGCGTCCGGGCAGGGCTCGGCTGGGTCTGGGGGGGGCTCCAGACGGGACCCCCATCCCCGGGGCCCCGCGGGCTCCATCGGACCCGGGCTCCGGGATGGCGAGCCGAGCCAAGCCGAGCCAAGCCGCGGAAAGCAGAGCGGGCAGCGGGAGAGCTGCGGTGCAGAGGGAGCCGGGGCTGGGGGTGGGTGGGCTCGTTCCGCGGGGGGATGCGGGACAGCTCCTGGGGAACACTGGCACGTGGCTTTGGCACTTTCCCGTTGTTCGCGTGTTTCCAGCAGCCTTAGCGGGGGAAAAGCTCCTGCCCGGCTCTGGCTGGAGCTCCCAGCGCTGGAGGCAGCCGGCCCGTCGGTCCCGCGTGGGCTGCGGGGTGACAGCCCTGGGATCAGCGGGGAGGACAGCTCTACCTGCGTGGGGGCAAATGCACTGGCATGCAGAGACGGAGCCTGGCACTGGGGCTTCCCTGGAGGACTCTGCCCCTCTTAGTTGATTGCCCCAAACTCTTGACCTCACATGTCGGGGCTTGTTTCCCACAGCGGGGGCTCTGTGGAGCATGGCACACCTGTTTCGTTGTGGTTGACCTCAAATCCTGTGTTGAGTTTTGGGCCCCTCAGTCCAAGGAAGACACTGAGGTGTTGGAGTGTGTTTAGAGAAGGGCAACGGAGCTGAGGAAGGGTGTGGAGCACAAGCCAGATAAGGAGCAGCGAGGGGGGAGCTCAGCCTGGAGAAAAGGAGGTTCAGAAGGGACCTTATCACTCTACAAAGAAGGTTGAAGCTGGTGGGGAGGTTCGTCTCCTCCCGAGTAGCAAATGGAGGAACGAGATTAAGTGACCAAGGTGTGCCAGGGGACGTTTAGGTTGGATATTAAGAACAATTTCTTCACCAGAAGAATGTTTCAGCTCTGGAAGAGGCTGCCCAGGAAAATGGTGGAGTTGCCATCCGTGGAGGGATTTAACAAACGTGTAGATTTGGCACTTTGGGACACGGTTTAGTGGCAAGCCTGGCAGTGCTGGGGGAATGGTTAGACTCGATAATCTCAGAGGGCTTTTCCAACCTTAATGACTCTGGAATTCTGTGACATCCTGCTGGTTTCTATGCTTTCTGTGTCTAAACTTTCAGCCACCCAGACTCAGTGCAATGCATGTCTCTGCCTGAGGGATCTCCCGGGGCTGGTGACATAACTTGCCTTAGTCAGAGCTATGCAGCAGTAGTAGGTTGCAAGCATTCGGGTGTAGTGTGTGATGTTCCTAATTCCATGCTGTGCATTCCCACTTTCCTCAAGCACAGAACCATGAGCATACTCCATCCACATGGGAAGAGCCTGCTGCTGTGTGGGGTGTGAGAGCTCATGGGGTTGCACCTTGATGTCAGGGACTGAACATGAAAACCTGATCTGTAGCCATGAAATCCCCTATCTGGACATAGTGTGGACAGTGGACATCTGGCTTGCTGTGTTGTGTATGTGCCTGTTGCTGGTGCACCCCATCCTTTGGCATGCTGGGGATGGAGCAGGTTGGGGATGTGAAGAGAATAGGAGGATGATGCTTTCAGCAGTTTCAGAGAGCCTCCTGGAAGCTGGAGGGCCCCTGCCTGCTGCTGTGCCATGTGGTGGGTCAGGCATGGCCCCAGGTACAGCTGCAGGGGTGGCTGTGTGCACTGTGGGGCCTCCTGGGAAACCCTCCTGCACCTGAGTGTCCCTAACACCAGGAGCCTTTCTGCACTAATCACTCTGCTTTGACTGATACCACGCAAGAGAGAAACGTCAAGCTGTGTTCCTTTAAAAGCATGGTGATACTCCTGAGTAGAGATTATTTTGAGAAGCTCTGGCTCTTGCAGGCAGTGTGTTTCAGTTCTGACTGGAGGCTACTGGCACAGGGCCCAGGCAGGCAGAGGGCACGGCAGGAGCCGGCAGGTCTGTGCAGGGCAGGGCTGCTGCATCAGGCTGCTCCTGTCCCCCTGCTGTCCCTGCTGCTGTCCCCCACCTGCAGCCGGAGGGGGCGCTTGCCTTCCTTTGGGTTTTTGGCACACGGCCTGCCTCTTTATTTTCTTGCCCCTCACTGCACTGCAAGGTTGCCAAATAAGCCTTGAACAACTTTCAAAGCTGCCTTCAGTTTCTGGTTTGTTTTGGGATAAAACTTGGAGCGGATTCAGGCAGTCACAGTTCTGTATGCACAGGGTCTGGATAAAACTCTGCTCTCTCCATGTGTACTTAACCTTTGGTACCCCCTCACTCCTTCCCATCTGTGCAGACAGGGTCCTTTAGAAAAGCACTACAGCTACAGGGCCAGGTTGGATGGAGCCCTGAGCAATCTGCCCTAGTGAAGGGCATCTCTGCCCATGGTGTGGGGGATGGCTGGCTGATCTTCAGTGTCTCTTCCAACCCATTTGTGATTCCATGAACTTGCAGGGCACTTCCTTGTTAACTAACCTGGTCTAATTACAGTGAGATTACTCTAAGAGAAGGATACAACTGTATTTGTTCTAGTTAGTGACTCTACTGTTACTTTTTTGTAAGCTCCCATTTTGATGCCATTTTCTCGTTTCAGTTTCCAGTGTGACAGTTGTAATACTGTCTTCATGGGCATGTGTTTGACAGAGAGCTGGCAGAGCCTTTCAGTCCTCTCCTTTTTCATATGTCTTTGCTTTAACTGTAGTGGCAGGTCAGTAAGTACTGGAGCTCTTCAAGCTGTAGGATTGGCATAAAGAGAATTGCTCCTTATAATAATAAAGGCAGTGTTTGGCTGTGAGCTGGCCCAAACTGTGAAGTCTCTGCAGCAGAAGATGAAAATCTGTGTTATAATAATGCACAGACAACCTCCTGCAGACAGCAACAGGCCAAATTTCCAGGATCTTCATGGCTGGAGGCAATGCCAGCTGCAGTCTGGCCTGCTTAGCCCTGCTGTGAACACTTGCTACATAATTGTTGATATTGAAGAAGGCAACACTTCAAAATTGAAGTTTGACCAAATAAGTGTTTTGGTCCAGTCTGAGCTGTCAGAGAGACAAGGCAGGTTAACACCTGGCTTGGAAGTGGTATTCAAAACATTCCTGTTCTTCCCTATCCTCTGCAGGATTAACTCTGAGCATGCCACTGTGTCATGTCCTAAGATTATGGAAGATTTTCTGTTATGAGCTTGTTTAGTTTTCTGTTCCACTTTGGATGAAGGACTCCTGTGCTTGCCTGAATGCAACTGGCTGGCAGGATCCTCAGAGTGTTATTCAGAAACCATTTATTCTGGTGCTGCTGCCAAAAGAAACGGCAGCAATGAACCCAAAAAGGTTTGCAGCTGGATCAGTACCCCTGGACTGGTGCACAGATATTTGTGCTGGTGCCTGGGAAAGGCAGGGTGGGTGTGGGAGTGGTGGAAGGGGCAGACAGTCAGGAGGACTCCTTGCCCTGGCAGGCCTGGAATATGGTGGGGCATCCCAGCCTGAGTGGGCTCCACCAAGCTGTGCTCCAGGCAGGGCTGGAGGTGGGTGTGTGGTGGGTCAGGGAGCCATGCAGGGAGGACAGGACCCCACCCTGGCACCAGGATGCCATCTGATCATGCCAGGTGGGGATCTGCTTGGAAACCAACCACTTTTTCTGATACAAGAGCAGGACAGTAATTTCTGTGCCAACAGCCATGTGCCCCAGTGAGGGGGCAATAAGGTGAGGGGCCCCTCATGGCCCAGTCCAGCAGTGGTGTGAGTTGGGATCATCCATCCTACCCTGCCAGAAGCCAGCAGGAATCAGGCCTCTGCAGTGTGTGTGTGCAGCAGGAGAGCAGCCAGGGCACTCCCTTCATCACTGTCCCTGTATCACTGTCACCAGTGTCACACAGTGACCCTCCAGATGCAGCCAAGGGCAGGGTGTGAATGGTGATGGAGAGCAACTGGCAGTGCAGGAATTTGCCTGCATGTGTGTCCTTGTCTGGCAGTGACCTGCTGTGGGGACAGCAGAGCCAGCCCTCAGCAGCCAGGGCAATGCATGCTTGTGGTATCAGCTTCTTCCCTGCCTGGCATTGTGCCCAAATGCCTCCACTCAGCCATGGGCTGGGGGCTTTGTAGAGTGAGATGGCCACAGAGGGCCTGGCTAGGGCATGTTCATGTGGAGAGACTGAAAATGGGCCAGGCAGTGAGCTGAGGAGGGGAGTGCATCCCTTCTGGGTGCATGGAAGGGTCCCTGCACCTCTGCACTGCCCAGCACTGACCCTGCTGCAGAGCCTTCAGGTCCCTGGGGTTCTTAGCTGGACCAGGGCCTCTACAGACAATACTAAGGTTCATTTAAATTCAGTATTGAAAGGCATCAAAACTTTCCCATGCAACATGCCATCCAGCTCTTTGCAAAGCACCTTCACATCTCCTCTCTGCCAAGCCAGCTGTCAGGGGTACAGCTCCCTTCTCCCTTTCCATTCAGTGCTTCTCTTTGTACTCTGCCCCAGATAACTATTTTTACGCCATTCTTTAAGTTGTTTGTTTGCTGCCTGACACAGAGTATTCAAGAATCATATAGTATATGGGACAATCAACCATCAATGTCAGTAAAAAATAAAAAAAAGCCAAAACCCAACCCAACAAACCTCATTCTTCACAAGAACTGAAGTTGACAATTACTTATGAGTACTTCTGGGAAGGGGGGAGCTTTGCAGGTGTTCTGTGAGCAGTGTGCAGAATGAAGCCCCAGCCCTAGCAAAAGCAGCCCCACGAGGCACTGCCAGGATCCAGCCCTGTGGGACAATGCCAGCAGCACGTGGCACTTCAGCATGAGCCCAGAAAGCATCTGCAGGGTTCACTGCCACCTGCAAGCTTTGCCATAAGGCTGAGTGGCAAATTCTCTCCTGCTTTAGTCACCTCAATGGGATGCTCCTGTGGACTATGCTGCCTGTGAGCCAGGGAAGCCAATGGGGAGGGATCAGGCTCTGGTTTCCCCAGATGGAACTTTGCAGCCCCTGTGCTGATTTTGGCACAGTTTTGTGAGCAGGCTCCAGAGAGCTGAAGACAGCCAGAAAACCCCACAACTGTGGTGGTTTGCTTTTCCTTCTGGCTGGGTTATGTTTTAGCTTGAAGGAATGGCCTGAGCTCACTTGAGGTGAGCACACAGAAGCTACACTGGCATAAGGGGAACAAGAGGAATGTCATGGGGAGGATATTGAGTGCAAAAATATCCCATTTAGGTTTTCCCATCTGAACTCCATCCTGCAACCACAGGCTGAGGGTTTTAGCCTGGTCAATGAAACCTCATGACTGGCTCATGCTGGTGCTGGGTAACCTTTTCAGGATGTTTCAGCAGTTAGAGGAGCTTTTTTGTTACTGTGCCTTAGGCAACTGATAGACTTCAGAGACAGCAGAGTTGTTGAGCTTTTCCCTTTTGGTATGAAACTTAAAATGCTTGCACTGGCTTCCTGATGCTTTGTTATCCAGAGGAGCAGCAGATTTGGACCAGATTTCCAGTCATGGCTTTTCCATGTGTGTGAGTCATAGTGGCTTCTGAGGGCTGCTGCACTGCTCTGCCCAGGGGTGCAAAAGGTATTTTTATGTTGGTCCACATGTTTGAGCTGTGCTGAGTGGGTGAGGAGGTGTGGGATGGAGGACAGAGCTTCCCACGAGGATTTGGCATCAGTGGATGAAGAGGGACTCAATGCAGAGAGATGAGGATGGGTTGGTGGT